AGGCGTGTTTGCTGTTCACAATGAGAGACAACATTTCAACAATTCAAATCTTTGCAAATGTTTAATACGTCAAAAGGTTTTCTAGTACATTGATCCTATCCTTGTATGTGTTATGATTATTAGTTCTTCAAATGCTTAACTTCAAGAGCAAACCTATAAGAGAATTAAAATGAGGACCCTGGGAAAGCCTGGTCTGATGGAAGTGTTGTTGCAACAGGAAAACACTCCTTGGAGCGGTAATATTTGTAAAGAACAGATTCCATCTCTAAAAACTTTGGAATATATATATATATCTACTATATGTAAAAACTTACCGTAAACTTTCACATCATCTGTGTTGCTGAATTCGGAGTCGACTCTGGATTTCAGGTGAGCTTTGCACGAGTACTGGCCTTCATGGGTGTGATCGACTGAAGAGATTGTTAGCAACGACTGGTCCTCATGAAGTTTCTCTTTATTTTTGTACCAGCTGTATGTCCACTCTGCGCCGTTTACTTCACACCCGAACTGCAGTTCCTCATTTTTAAAAACATCAAGCCACTTTGTTAGCCGCCTGAGAATTGGTGTGGGTGGGTCTGAAAAAAATGTAAAGATACCCTCATATCAATGTTTACTGTACAGGTTAAAAATAACATAACATGCCTTTTTCAGCAGAAATACAGCACGGCAATCTAGAAATGCATACAAGGTAGATGAATATCCATAAACTAAATATTCTGCCTGTGCTGCAATGTAACCTGGAAAGTGATGCAACATATACATGTGCTTACCAGAAACCTGCAGATTGATGGTACCACTGGCCTCTGTGTAGAATGATCCTCGCTTAGCTTTGCAGTGGTACTTTCCACTGTCAGGATGACCTATAGTGTGTATAGTGTGTTTTTCTGAGCTTGAATCTGAAATTTCGGTCCCATTATGGTACCACACGTATTCCCACTCAGATGATACATCGACCTTGCATGTGAAGTCGATTGGTTCTTTAGGGTACATCATGGCATAATCAGAACTTCGGGTCACAGTGGGCTTGGGTTTTGCTGTTCACGATGAAAAAGGTATAAAGAAATCACTGCACAGAAGCATGCATGCATAGTAACTGCAACATGAATGTACAATATTTTGTTTTTCAGATACATACTCTACATATGTGTGGGCCAAACACATATGAAGGGATTCTGTCAGAAGACTTTACCAGGTAAATTACTGATGTAATGCTATTAATGTAATGCTAGAGACTTACTATAAACTTTCACATCAACTGTGTTGCTGGATTCAGACTCGACTCCTTTGGATTTCAGGTGAGTTTTGCACGAGTACTGTCCTTCATGGGTGTGATCGACTGAAGAGATTGTTAGCAACGACTGTTCCTCATGAAGCTTCTCATTATTTTTGTACCAGCTGTATGTCCACTCTGTGCCGTTTACTTCACACCTGAACTGCAGCTCTTCAGTTTCGAAAACATCAGACCACTTTGTCAGCCGCTGGAGAATTGGTGTGGGTGGGTCTGTGAATATTAAAGACAACTTATCATTTGAATAAGTTGGCATGCTAATTTCTCAGGACAATAATAAAGGGTATTTTGGCAACTATACAATAAACTTTTCTTTCTCAGCTTACCATTAACTCTGACTGCAGTACCACGGCTTCTTGCAGTTTGCTCAGCCCTTGTTTTGTGCATTCCCTTACAGGAGTAGTCTCCAGAATACTTATATTATATATATATTTGGAAAATTACGATGCTACATTTTATGATCAGTGACTTGACTTTTCTAATTTCATGCTGTAAGTAATCATGTTTTATCACGATGTAACTGTTGGACAGAAGCCAGCAGTATTTCCTTGAATCATTCATGCATATATTTTACCCCATTTGAAGAAAGATTCTGGTATTCTATGTAATATGAGTGTAGTTTTAGGGCTTATACACCCCAAACCTCCACACTGCCATGAAAGTTGTGACTTTGTCTAAGACGAATTGACCATCTTTCTGGGACTTAAGAGCCGTTATTCGAGCTGGCTTTGTCTTTGATTGAGGATTTCCAAGACCTGGAAGGCTTGAAATCTAACATCTCATTTTTAAACTTGAACCTTTTCAAAGGCTGAAACTTAGCTAAACAATGATCACACAGCACTAAAGATTAAAATCTTACCAGGTTGTGGCTTAGTTGTGACTAATTCATTTTCTTGTATAGTGCGTGTTACTGCTGGAAGAGAAAAACATATAGACGTCAGATGTTACAGGTAAATTATATGTAATCTTGATTCTTTTTTTAACTAAGTTCTTGAAAATTCTAGAGAAAACAAAACCTTCTTATATTATATACTTTTATCTTAATGTGCCATAAAGAGTGAACAAAATAACCTGACTTTTTTTTAAAGCATGTTGAAAACTAAGGCTAAAGTACTTATACTAGGCAGTTTTTTAACAATAGGAACTTCTAAACACATGACAACGAGGCACTTCATGTTCCTCATGATAATTTTAGCAGTGTGCAACTTCCTACATGACTGTTCTCTTTGGGTTGGACTACAAAACATGTCCGGTTAAGGTTAACGTAGATATCGCAAGTGTATTACTGTATGTACTACCAGTTTTAAGAAAACTTGTTTTTCACAAGTTACAGAAAAGGTAAACATGCTTCTTTTAGAGATTAAGAGATAAAGATTTATTTTCCTACCATGTGAATCATCCTGTCCTGCACAAACAGCAGTCAAACCTGTCAAATGAGTTTACAGTTAATGCTTAGTTAAGATGTCAAACTTATGTGAGAAAGATTCATCTACATTCAATAAAAAGGATTAAAAGAGTAAAACACTTACATGCAAGAGAAAAAACCTTGAGAAGCCACATTTTACATCGAGCCCCAAGTGTGAAGCCTGTGCTGCTGAGTTCAGTCATTTATCTGGAGTTCAGCAAACGAAAAGGACTGCGTTTGGCATGGGCGTGTGTGAAACATTCATCTCTGAACTCACCTCAGCACAGCAGCTTTCCTGTCACTCTGACATCTGCTGTTCTGTGTTGCTGCAGTGACAGGAAATGTGATGGTGAACCGCAATGAAATGTTTGCTCATTTGACATAAAGTGCTGATTTGTGCTTAAAAGGGAAGGAAGGCTAAGGGAATTGAAAGACCTCTCAAAAACAGATATTTTATGGCTTATGTTGTGTATCAATATGGTCTTTTTTGTGTTTACTCTGTGTGTGTACGAAAAAAAGAGATTGTGCAAGTGTGTTTGTGACTGTAAGTGGAAAAAATTCAACCAAACTTTTGCACCTGACCGAGTTAAAAAGACAGATGGCATCAGCATCTCACTTGTGATGGAAATAAGGGATCAACAAAAATGTGATATAAAATAGAATTATTTCCAAAAGCAAAGCTATTATTTCACCTCTATGTATCTTTATAGAACTTCTTAAATTCTACCCGTGGCCTCATGTGGGTGTACAAATAGTGGCTCCATCAAGGTTTTTTTTTTAAACTCTTCTGTCTAACCACTAAACATCCTTTGATGACAGCAGGAACTTACAGTCTAGAGATGCAAATGAGGAGAAGTTTTTGACGGCTTAATTCTAAATCAAAGTATTGAAATGCATGAGCAGAAAGGCTTAGGGGTTAAATGGAAAATCACATTTAGTTTGTGACATATCAAAGACTACTAAACGTCCCCCTCATCATACTTTGTGGTAAATATATGGTTCCCCACGTGTCTGAGATGTCGTGTGGCAGGGCGTCACAAGTTTCTATTCCTCTATCATTTATCACCCTCACCATAAGATGTCACTATAACACAGAAAAGGATGTATGAGACTGCTAAAAGAGTCAGTTGCACCACACATGTAGTTAGTTAAATTAAAATCACAGAAACACCTTAACCTAGGTTTTAAATCATCCATGATATGTTAGATGGTCAAAATAAGACAAAACCAGCAATTCTTCATCAGTGTTGTGGCTGGTTGTTTAGACGCATGGTCTCTGACATCCAATCTAATTCTGTTCTTTTATATCAATCTGAATCTTTTGTGGTTGAAGTGGTAAGTCAGCATATACCTGTTGGTGGTTTTCTCTTTTCATCTCTGGCTTAATGAAAATAGGCTCTCTTTGCTCACGGCAGCAGACATGTTCTTTTCTTTTCTCCTTACCCTTTCAATCTGAGCACATGCAGGCTCTCGACCTCAGTGCAGGTGCACTATTTTCTTTAGTCTAAGTCCCAAAAGTGGTGGCTTTTATGATTTTTGTTCTTGTCCATTTTGATGAATGTTTTTTTACTCCAGCTCAGAATTTCTTATTTCCTGATCAATTAATTCCTTTTTGATCTTCTTCTGCCGGTTTTCAGCATCAGAGTTCTTATTTTTTAGATCGGCCAGCTCAGAGAAGTGAAAAATCTGTTCTTTGGATACCATTACTCATCATGGGGGCTTGAACAGGAAGCGTGGTTTTAACGTTTTTCCTGTGTAGAGGTTGGCTGCTATCGGCTTGGCTTCAGAGTAGTTATAGTTCATTCCTTGCAGAATAGTCAAAGTACACAATACGAACGTGCGTTTTGAGATCCTGCAGGTGTGTTGTTTATGGACGCACTGTGTGTTGTGTCAGTGGTCACTTTCCAAAAAGGTGTATATCTTTATGGCAACCTTGGGACTTCATTAGCTAAAACTAAGCAAACAGTTGTAAGAACCATTTAAAAACTCTCAACATTAATAGACCTTCCTACATTTTCAACACAGCAACAGGAACTGGCAAGTTGATTATTTTTAAATTCTTAGTCTGTAATAAGAAAAATATAATCTCAGGCAATTATTTGTGTTATTTCCAGACAACTTTATAGTACTTCCTTTTCGATCCCAGATTTTTGGCCAGGCATTTGGTTTCATTCACAAGAAAGGTTAAGAAAGAATGCATAACACATTTTCCATTTTTTAACAACAGAGTCCACTTAAGTTATTGTGAGATGTGTATTGATGGAAGATTAAGTGATAAAGAATATGATGGTAAAATCATTGCCAGCTGCCACTAGTAACTTAGAATTCATAGTCATATTCTGAGTTGAACGATGAAGTAGAATGCATCATTATGAGCAGTTTACAAAGATTAGGGATTAGTCCTTTGTGAATAATTTGTTTTCTTTGACAGAACTAAACTCCAAGTCTTTACATTGTTTATCTAACTATAACTGAAAATAGATTTTCTCCATTCTCCCTGGCCCAGTTGTTACAAGGCAAGGATGTTTTCATGAATCTAATGGATTTTTGTTGAGAAAAAGAGGCAAGCCTGTTTGCAGCTCGGCTGCAGGGTTTATTCTACTTTTTAAAAGAACAAATTAAACATCTGTCTTTCAAAATCTTTCCGTAGTAAATAAATTACTGTATTTCACATTCCATTCATGCTCCATATCAATCTCCAGACATTACAGGTGTGATATAGGTGGAAGTAAACAGAATTAATTGCATAGCAGTAACACTGTGTGAACTCAAATTCTAATCCTTAAAATTGATTTACAAACATTATTATATCACTAGCTTTATAACTGATTTGTAGTGAGTCATCCATCCCAGTAACAACAGGGCTGTGAGCCTGGCATAGCCACCAGCAGGCACATTATTTCAACCTATAGACTTATTATCTGACAAACATCAAAAGAACAGAGGCAGAAAGAAACAGTCTTGCATGCATCTTTCCAGCTAGAATAACACATATATGTCAGACAACGATGGCTGGGATGGATGTGGGGTGGGTCTTCCTTTCATACTGAAACAAGTGTGTGGTGGAGATAAATGTTTATTTGCTGTCCATTTCTTTAATATGAACACACTGATGCAAAGCCAGCAACAACTTCTCTTGCCTCTTCTAACAATCTGAAAGAAAGTTAGACACATACAGAAAGGAGAAGGGATTTATACAATGTTTAAGGTGCATGTACTCAAACACACAGCTTCCATCATTGCAGTAAACATCACAGTTTTGATCTACATCCTCATACAAAGAAGATACTAACGCTCTCGCAAACTTACCTGAAACCTAACACCTGGACTTCAGCTAGTTCTTTAAACACACTGATGGAAAGATAATTAAAGATAGGAGTTAAATAGGGTCATGAAGTGTTAATGGTTACTTCAACCTGGAATGTTCTGGGAAAGGGTGAGAATTTTTAAAATCCCTGCGTAGTTTCCATGAGGGATTATCTGGCTTGGTTTCTGCCCGCTTAGCCCATTCTGCCTACTTCTCACAACACTCCACGGAGTCTGTTGACTCATGGTAATATGAAGAGATTGGCTGTGTGTCAGATCATCTGGAGACGTTTTTAGAAGCTGTGGAGAGCTGTGCTGACATCACCCCAACCTCCCACCCAAAGGCACTCCCAGCCTAATCCCTCATCAACTTCTTGAGGGGGCCCTTCCATGTATGGCCAGGCCTTATGGGGCCACGTCCTGACACTCACCAGCAGTGTACACTTGGCACGAAACCTCTCTTTGGGTAATTTGATCATAGGAGGACAACTGTAAATACAGGTGTGAATGCATCTACACACATCCAGGATGTATTGAGATCTGATCACTTTGCCTTTCGGGGGTGGTTGAGAAGGCAAATGTCCCTGACCACAGCGAAGGTCATCTTTGTGTTGTGCATGCTGCACAGCAACTGTATCCAGTTTATTGGTCAGACAACTAAGCCAGGAAACTGGGAGCCTAAAATCAAGGATCAAAAGGGCATGATAGTCTTAGAATCCCTCAAACCAAGCACCTCCTCTAGGTATAGAGATAATGGAGTCAATATATAACACTATAACTGTTTTGCAGACAGAAAAAAGTGATAACCTGCCTTTCAATAATCTTCTCATGTAACTGACTAAGTTCAGTGGGTCACAGTGATAATGTTTCACATTGCTGTAAAAGCACTCTTGGGACGTGCTACTCCTTTGACAAAAAGGTTCAGTTAAAGGTCTCATCATACGAGGTCAAACGCTGTCTCTCTTTCTCACCATTTTGTTTCTTTAATCTTTGTCCCCCTCCACTCCTACTTTGTGTCTTTAAAAAACTTTATAGGGCCTCGCACTGTGCCCATACTGTAAGGTTGTGGGCACAGTCCTCACATTCCTAGCACCAACTGAGAATTTAAAACAGGAATACTGAAACATGAATAAGGCTGCCTAATAGTAGGAGTATAAATCAATATAAAGAACCTGTATACAAATAAAATCTGGTATTTCTTTATACAGTTGTTGGTTGATAGAATGCTAACTTACGTTATGAATTACAATGAGTTTTCTCTGAGAGCACAGAAGCCCCAAAGCTGACACATTTTCAATGATCTAACTAGTATGATTATTTTAAGTAAAGAAATATTTGTAAATCTGGTGATAAAAGCAATTCATCCATGGCTGATAGCAAATAATCAACTATTACAAGTCAACTTTAAGATCAAAGCAGTTTGGGACCAAATGAAAAATTAGGTGTGATAAAAGGTTGGCTTAGGCATTATGTCAAACATTTGGAGCCAAGGTAGTTCCCAGAGGCACTCCCCTAATGCCAGCCATCACCACTCCTCACATCAGTTGGTAGAAATAGAAGTGGTAAGATCAGTAGGAATGGGATATAAACCCTGGTTTGGGTAGGGGTTAATGAAAATATAGAGGGTGGAAGAGGTGGAGGCAGGACATGACACACAAGCAGGTTCAGCAAATAAACTCAGCAAAATATTCCCACTGTCTCTCCCTGTGTTCTGTCTACCCGAAGTGCCCCCCCTGTTGGGCCACAGGCTATTATTGCTTCCTTTACCTCTGACTTTGTCACTTTAAGGAGCCCAACCTTTTCCTGGTTTTAAGAGCTTTTAACAAACCTCAAGGACTCCCTCTAAAACACAGTCTTTGAATCTTTTCCTGTTCTGCTTCTCCACTCTTCTTATGATAAATGAATCCCCTCCCTCTCTTCCTCTGTAGCTCTAAGTAAGTTACCGCAAATTCAATTAACAATTCACAACTTTAAAGTAACTACCTAATCCAATCTGCTCCTTACCTCAGAAAGTTAAAACATTGGTTTATTTGCCCTTTTCTTTGTCACCCTCTGGAAGAATAACCTCTGTGGGGGGATAAAAATATTGTTATATATTTTCAAACAGATTTTTTGCCTGATGACAAGTTATGAAAATGATTTAAATAGCCTTCTGATACATACGTTTGACCTCCAGTTTGCAGGAGACAACAGCCTCTCCCTGGGGGTTTTTGGCTCTACAGGTGTACACACCGCCATCAAAGCTACAAGGCTTACGGATCTCGAGAGAGCAAATCCCCTGATTGGATGACTGACGAAACTTGGGATCATCAGCAATGACCATCTGATTCTTCAACCACTCGATCTTAGGCTGGAATGAGGAGAGCAGACGATAAAGAAAAATGTCAACTTATGCATCTCAATTATATACTGTTTTATACTGGGTTTTACTTTAAAATTCTATGTGGTGACAAGTTTATTTTTAATGCGTGAGTTGATGTTCATACTAAATTTCATTTTTGAGTGTGAAGGTTTCAGTGTAGACTATAGAAATATAAAATCTAAGCAAATCTGAATAAAGATAATAGTTCAGTGTGAAGATCAGTACATTTCTTCAATCAAGGGGTAGAAACAGTATAAATGAAAGCATACTGTATATCAACCGTTAATGAAGCTCCAAAAAATGCTAAAAACTTGAGATATGTTTCTACTTGTCTACTCTGTTTTCACCTGATTTGTCAATGCCAATCAGCCGATATCCCTTGTTTTTTAAACACATGAATAAATACATGAATAAATACATGAATACATCATGTTTTTTCATTTAGCAAATTTATAGATTCATGTTTTAAATGATGATTCCTCTGCCTTTACTGGGTGTGTGCATGTTGAACTGTTTTTTAGCTTTTCAGGGCAACCGGGCACCAGATTTCCAGTAAAATGCTCTTTTGAATAGTATGAATTTAAATAAAAGATGCACAAATAACCTAGTGGTTGCAAAACAATACCAGAGGATTTTGGCCACTGTATCATTTGCCTTTGCCACAATTTCTACCTTCCATGCAAACATTTCTCAAATATTCACACAGCTCCTAATGAAAATGTGGAACTATGAACAAAAGGATGCCATAAAACTGCTGAAATGTTGCTCTGTTGATATCCTTTTATCCTATTTGATACAAGCTATGAACTGTTAGCAATCTGTGGCATGACACTCAGACGAGCAATACTGCAAATAGAACATCTTCTAAACATTATCATCTTGTCAGGACTGTTAGATAAAAGTGCTTCCACTGTGTCACCTGACATGGCTGTAGACTTGATCTCACTCAAATATGAGAGATAACAAGCTAAACAGCCCTTTAAACCAATGTACTAATTTCTTCCCCCGCCTGTTTGTGCTTGGGGGTGATACTCAAACTGTCAACTGACAGTGATACCAAGGCTCTGATACAATCCAGATGGATTGCAAAAATAGGACCTTTACTGATACAGCAGCATCTCTGTATAGACCTGGTATTACATCTGCCCATAGTTGTTATCATTGCCTGTCCTTTGTGCTCCTCTCTCAACCCCTAATGCAATCTCTCCCTTTAGGCGAGATAGAACTTTAGCAGAAGTGACAGTCCAACTTATCAGACTACTGGACATGCCTTTCTGCAGAGGCCTCCTCAACAGCTCTTCACAAGGTCTGGTGCATATGCCAACGAGGAAAGCAATCCCTGTGACCAGATGATAAACATTTTAAATCCACTTAAAATTACATTTATGATATATATTTAGAGAGATAAAGTTAATGAAAGCAAGAGAATAAGAGTATTTTAATTACATGATAATTACAGAAACTGCACACTGTGTCTGGTGACACTTAAAGAACCATCTGTTACAGAAGCTTGATGCTAAGTGCCGTTTTTAGAGTATGCAGTTTTCCTCTCCTAATAAATTTAACATGCATCTCCCTCTATTTTCCTAAACAGAGGACAAATAGATATAATTTAGATATTTTTTGTGAAAGAAAAAAAAGTCCTTATTCTCAAAGACTCAGTGTTTCCGAATCTCAACATCATGCTTAACATGCAGTAAAATCATGTTTTCTAGACCATCGCAACTTAAATTGAAACATCTATTTCCTGCTTTTGTCCCTTAGCCATCAATCTTTCATTTCTCTATTTTCAAATGTCACATTTTGTGGTCAAATATGAGACCACACATCTCGACTGTCCTTGGGGAGCGGCCAAGGACAGCTGAGACAAACAATCAACTCTACATTTCCACCCCGGCCTGCCACCTAATCTGTCTGAGTCTGTTGGACAACTGTAAAGATAAGTTTAACCAGAGCCGCGGCCGTCAAGCAGAGTGAGAGACATGCTGAAACTTTGTACAGACATACCAGCATGAGCCTTCCCCTGCAGCTACAGTGGATCCTTTTAGCTGTGACATTTATATCTCATATAAGGGAGCAAATAACTTACCAAAATTGAGCCCATTTATCAAAAGAAACTGTTCAGAAAAATCAGTTTAGCATGAAAAGTAGTAAAAAGGGATTTTTAAATGTGCGAGTTAGACAGAGAAAATAATTAATCATCCTTTTTTAATGTACTTAATCTACCTTTAAATTAAGAAAAGAAGGCATGCACGATTGAAATTGGGCATTGCTGACCTTGGGACATCCACGAACAGAGCACAGCAGTTTGGTGGTGTATCCCACAGTGGCAGCACGGTCGATGAGAGGAGTGGTGAACTTTGGTGCCTCATTGAAGTCGCGCTCCGGGTACTCAGGAGGCTTGTAATTGATACCTATTTTCAAAAGCAGATGGGTTACTGTAGATTCTGTCACTGAATTTATCAAATCAGAAAAGTTTTTTAGTTCCACAATTCTCTGTTTTCTGTACATTTTTCAACACATGCTTTGAAGAGTTTTATCAAGTTATGCATAAAAACATTCTAACTTTTTAGGAGATTTATGCTATGTCTTGTAGTGTATACATCAGCATAATTTCTGCTTCCTCCTTTAGTTTATTTTCATATCCTTCAACTTTAATATAAAAACTAACTAAACTTTAAATGTAAGTAAAAGCTGCAGGGCAGTGTTTTAGCGGACAAGGATAGGGATACACTGGTTTCCCCAAAATACTCGTTTACATCAAATAAAAACATACATATATAAAAGAACGCGACTACTCTAAAATTTGGCAGTAGATCACGGTCTGATGAAAAATAGATGACTTCGATTTATGAAAAAAGACAGGAAATCTCAAATTGAAAACACATTGGAAACTAATTTGAAATTAATAGAACATGAAAAAATGCTAATGAAAAAATAAAACAACCAAACAAAAACATGTATGTATTTGAAAAATTAAAGAGAAAATGGACACTGACAAAAAAAGTTAAAAACAGAAATTAAAATAGGGGAACTGAACTTTAAAAAAAAACTACTAATTTGACCTGGTGACACAGTTTGCTGTAAATGGGTGAAAGAAGAGAGTTTTGCAAAGATTTTTTTTCAGTTTTTGACCGCTAAAACTATTTCCTCAATTTTGACCTCATATTTTATTCTCATATTTTAAATTTAATTGTGAAATGTGTGAAACTTTTATAAAGAATAAAGAGGCAAAGGTATTTCAAATACAAAACCAATATTTAAATAACAAAATACAAACTATGATGCTGATACATATTTTACTACATGAAACTTATCCAATCCCATTCATACTGTCAAGATGGAAAAATCAAATTTGACAGTGGACACTATCTGACAAGGTAATGACATGAACAGACACAGACCCACGTCACCACTAGCATCTATTTCAGGGAGAGACACCATAGGTAAATATGATAACACTTACACTCACACTACTCTACACTTACTAACGCAAACACACACACACACACACACTCAGCTGTGCCAGGGATCTTAATGTTTTCGCAGCTTCTTAAAATTCATCTCAGACATAGCTGAACGCAGGCCAAGAGAATTATCCAATTATGTTTAAAGCTTTGCCAAGGTCATTTCCACTTCTCAAGCCTGCATTGCAGCCTTTTTCAGGTTAACAGCAGATCATTAATCTGTGCTCTGAAAGTGCAGACCTTTTAGCAACAACTCCTCCAAACGGACTGGCCAAGAATAATATGGGCACTGGAAGTCAAAAATATTCACCTGTCTTCTGGATTGTTGCCACTTCCTTGGTGACAGCACTCTGCTCGCTGATGCCCACCTGGTTTTCAGAAAACACCCTGAAGATGTAGGAGTTGCCCATGATGAGGTCTGAGATAGTGGCCGTTAGCCTGTGGTAGTGCTCCAGCACCGTGAACCAGTCCTGCATGTGGAGACACAACAGACTGGTCACATCAGTCACCGGAACAGGCCAACTGCTCTTCTGTAGCCAAATACCTCTTTTAGCTTTCTATGAACCATAAACATTTTATCATGTGTGTGCCATCTCATACCCCTGTCTTCTTGTCAGCCTTCTGAACAATGTATCCAGTGATTTCTGTGTTGCCACTATCTTTGGGTGGAGTCCATTCTAGAGCAGCGTTGAAGCCCCAGCTGTCCACCAGCTTCAAACTAGCAGGAGGACCGGGCCGCTCTAAGAAGACATAGTAATCAATTTCACATAAAGTAGTAAAAATAGTAGTAGTAAAATCATTACCAAGAGTGATAGGTGGCAGATAAACAACAAACTAAGATTTCTATTTAACATCTGACATTTAACATCTAGTCCCACTATAGCAATGAACTCACTGCAAAAAAATTGAGATCACAGGGTATCATTGATGTTGTTGGAGCAAGTCACATGTACCAGAATCAGCTAATTCAAAAGTAAGATGAGCAGATTAGTCTGGAAGATCTGTAGTCAGTCCAGTTAGTTACATCCACACATTTATGTGGATGTAGGGATACATTATCCAAAACAAACCATCCAATGGATGACTCACCCACAATCTGAAGTGTGAGGCTGGCTTTGTCTTCAAAGCTCTCCACTTTCAGGGACATCTCATAAGTGCCAGAGTCTTCCCTCTGGGCACCACGGATAAACAAAATGCTGTCCTTGTCAGTGTTCCTGATATTGACTCTCTTTGTGTCCAAGGGCTGACCATCTTTGAGCCAGGACACTACAGGTTTGGGCTTTCCCTGAGAAATTTGAAAAAGGAAGATTTAAAGCTTAAAACTATAAGAGTTCTATCTATCAGTTTGTGTCTTTTCATTATTTTGTAATAGTAGTGTGCCAACTTACAATAAATGGGATGACCAGGTTGATTTGCTCGCCAACCTGCTTGATGTAGCGAGATCTGAGAGTGCGAGGCAAGCGGATCTTTGGACGGTCTGAAAAGTTGAGTTAAACACGTTAATCCAAATCCATGTTTTACACTTTTACAAATGCACAGAAATGTTGTAGCATCATTACTGAATCATCCATTTGGCAGCATTAGCCAGCCATTGGCAATGAGGAAACAGTTTGCAGCCTGTTTTCTGTAAATGTCTTGTTTGAGTCTTCAGACCAGTAAAAGCCCAAGAGCTGTAATAACAAATTGATTATATGTGATTAAACACACCCTGAAAAAGAAAAAAAGCTTCAATCTCATCACAACTGTACATTTCATACAGTTTCAAAAATGCACTTAAGCAAAGGAAAATATTTTAAGCTAAATTCCAAAATAAGGATGTAAACGATCTGTAGCTATGTGCATTAAGGAGTACAACATGTGCATAGTCTTATCCTTAAGAACAGGGATCATCAGCAAAATATGAGTGTCTGTAGAAAACTGCAGTATCTGGGCAGAGAGGTAAAAAGAGTCTGACCCTGAATCGAGCGGCTCCAAAAATAGATATCGTGACAAGAAAGATTGGATGAACTCTTTCAAATGTCCTCCCATGTCATGTGGACAGAAAAAGAAAGAAGATGTCATCATTTTCAACTCACCAGATGGTAGGTTCTGCTGTGAATGCAATCGTATGGATAAAATTGCATGGTGAGTTGGATTTTACATTTACCAGCTACCCAGACTGCAGGCCGGTTTTCTTTCAGGCCAGGTGCTAAGTAACAAGAACAGCATCCTTCACATGTTTCTGCCTAAGCAGCAGATATTTCAAAAGTTCTTTGAGCTTAGAGGGTACATACCATCTCTCCGTCAACTCTTCCTACTGTTCTACTGTTTCTCTTAATCTGCTCAAAATGTCCTCTTATCTTACACCCCATCAAACTCCTGCCCTTTTTCATCACGCTATAACACTGATACCCTGCCTGTCTCGCTCGCATGTCTCATCACCTCTTGTCCTTACATTTGTCACCATATCGGTGTTGCAAATGCTGAGTCTAGCTGCTGGAGCCATCATTTCCCTGGAAGATCAGGTCTGCCCTCAGATTTGGCTTAAACCCTAATCCCTGCTAATCAACAGACTCGTCAGCAATGCCCAGAAGTGCAACAGTCATCCGAGCACCCACCATCCAACAATGCCTCCTCCAAACAATGTGTAATCTGTCTTTGTCTCGGGATAAAGTGTCTTTGTGGGGGGCTTTCAGCATATGTAGGACAGTATGTCTTCATCAGAAGCTTAAACATGAGTGACACACATCTGAATTTACCCCTAACAAGCAACCCAGAATGCATCAGTCAGGCTCATGTTGCACTCCCCTCAGATGACCAGCAGTTCGGTTTGTATGACAGCCTCTCTCCCTAAAGTTCCCTGTTTGGTCACAGTTGTTTGAACACCAACAAACAGATTCATTCGGATGCATTAAGCCATGTGTCTAAAAGTGTAAAAGGCAGCTATTAAAGACAGAAAACAGAAGAGAAATGCATGCACAGGGGACTACTACTTCATGAAAAGCAGAAAATAGATGGTTCATGCAAAAGAGAGATGTGTCATGGGGTAGAAGTTACTGTTCTTGAACACTTCTTGGTACCAGCCAACACCTCGTTTTCTTTATTCCTTCAGGCAAATTTAATCAAATGTAGACAGCAACATTTCTAAAAGCTGGACCAGCCCATAGCTATCTTCAATAAATGATCTGAAATAACTTCAGAGGATTCAAAATAACCATAAACATATACATTGCACTGAACGGAAATACATAATTGTGTGGTGGCAGCACACATTATAATATGTGAGGAGTAATAAAGAGAGTATTTGGTTTGCAAACCGACTGAAAACAAACAAAGACAATTTCCAGTTTCTTTAAAACTGCTGTGCGAAAGGTACTTCCACATTCTTCGATGCACATGACCGTAGTTTTATTTTCAGAAAAGCCCAGACGCCACCACAAAGAAAAATCTAATTTTGTCCGTTTCTGTTCTGTTCTGTTCAAGCAAATTTCAAATGAACACCTCATAATCCCCATTAAAAAAACGATTACGGAAACACCTTTAATGGATTTGAATGCAGAAAAAGGAAACAATTGACAGCATTGCTATAACTATTACAGAAAAAGGTAGTGCATGAGCACCACATGTTTGTTCTTTTTAGCCTTAGGATCAAAAACAGTTAACTCGGTTATTTTTAACAAGGCTGGCAACGTAAGAGAGGTCCATGTGACTGGATCTAAAAAGAGCGGACTGACAGCAAACGTCTACATTTCCCGAGCCAAACTAGTGCGATGGCTGATCATTCAATTGAAGCATGTTTAATGCATTGCATTTACATGCATTACGATGTCATTAACCTGTTTGAGACAACAGGACAGCCAGAGCAGCAGGGCCATAAATAAAGCGACAGTGAGGCCGAAGTGACAGAGTTAATGTCAATAAATCACATGACTGCCAGATGGCTCGTTACACAAATGTTTACTCTGGCCTGGCTGAGGCTGCCATTAAATCATTCTGAGGATGCACTGCACCAGGCTCTTCAGACCTAGAGAGCATCTTTTAGAAACTCCAAAGTTCACAGAAGCTTTTACCTAAATGGGACCTTCTAAAAAAACTCCACTACAGATCAGACCTCTATTTCTATCTCATCCTCTGGACCAGGTTTCCAAAATATAATTTCGATTGAACTCATTAAGGAGCAGACAACTAGACTGCACTTTCTAATTTATGCCATCTTTTCATGATAGTCTCGATGAGAAAATGTATGAAGAGATTTGCTCATCACCTTAGTCTCTAAATGGTGTGTGGTCATCTGGTTGTAGTAAACTTCCATGAATTAACATGGCCATTAGTAATCCTGTGTGGGCATATAGAGTCAGATGTGGAACTTCCTCAACAGGAAAAGACAAATGTTAATTTCATTTACAATGACTTTTGCCCTTTAGAGGTGATTTGAAGGATTCTCCCCCACATGACTCGTCTCCTTTATCTGCCATGATACAGTATTCATTCATGGAAAAAATTGAGTGCTTGGCCGCCTTATCAGCAGCTTCCTCAAAGAAATTTAAGTGACAGACTGATTTACACTCAATGAAAGCAGTTGTCAGCACCTGCAGGATTTACATCCATACATCTGTGAAGTCCATCTGAGGCTTGCAGTTAATACCGCCTCCACCCTGGTCGAAGCAGGAGTATTTTAGGGATAGGTCATACGTTACAGCTATCAGAGAGCTCTTGACAGTCGTCTTAAAAGCTGGCTTAACACCAGCGAAATTCTGAACAGCAGGATCTCGCGCAGGACATTTAGTACAGAGTTTTTACTCATTTTACTCAAAGAGTTTATTATCTTTCAATAATGAACACGTCATAATGCAGGATAGCTGCAAAGGTTTCCGTAAACCTTATCAGAAAAGCGTAGAATATTTGGAATAGCCCTTTCCTTTCCAGACCCTTTGTGATGAGTACCCCAACGCTGACAACTACCTACCAGCAACTTCGTGGATCGGTACAGGCTCAGCGAGCATTCCAGGCTCACTGCGGCCGCCAGGGTTTACAGCCACCACCCTCACATGCAGCAGGTCGCTGGTTGTCAGGTCCTTGATGCTGTAGCGGTTGGCTGTGGTCAGCTCTTCATTAGCTACAGCCCAGTCTGTTGCTGTGGGGACACCAAAGAGTCTTTCAGGATCATTTATGGCTTTTACTTTAAAAAGATTCAAATTATATTGGCCTGATTAACATATCTTAAATACTAACCACCCTGTATATGAGATTTACTAAGTGGTTTATCACCTGCCGACATACACGTTTACAAACAACCTGCCCATAAGAAGTACACTGATGGCTACCAGGATGAAATCTTAGAAGGCATGCTGTCATCTGAGTAAAAGAGCGGTTCTAAAAGTGGTGTCAGGGGGATGCAGTGACAGCCGCCAGACCGATGCCTGCCGTATACGGTTTGAACCCGGCTATCAGTCTATCTGCCCTCTGACACTCTGGGGACAGGTGCAGCCCTATGCACAGACAGATATACACACACACTTACTTCCATCCTTGCAGTACTCAATGGTATATCCATCCAAACCAGAGTCTCCAATGGTCTCTGGTGTCTTCCATTTAATGGTGAGGCTGGAGTCACTCACATCATCCACCGACACATCCAAAGGAGCGCTAGTGGGAGCTGTAAGAAGTGGATTGATTACAAAGTGGAAGGATGAGTTCCTTTGTTTGACTGACCTATTACAGCATGTTTTCACAGGGCATAGGGCTATGTCACATAATAACATTATGCTTTAATTATTCTACAGCTTTTCCTAAATCTAATATTCACAAAACCTCTGTTTGTAATTCAGTGACAGCAGCAAATCTCCAAAACCGAGAGGCCTAATTGACTCATTATTCAAACTGATGATCCAATGATTAAAGGTGCATTGTTTTTTTTTAGTTACTCCTTGTTTAATGCCTTTCAGTGACCTTGCATGGGGGCCAAAAGCCAGATGAAGCTAGCAGCAGAGACATCCATGTTACCTGCGGGAGGTGGAGGCGTGGGTGCCTTGGGTGGTTCTTCAGCAACAGCTTCTGCTGAGGGAGCTATTATCAAACAAGCAGCAGGTTAAGCCGGTCCATACTTTCTCCACAGTAACGTTTCATCATATGCAGTTTCAAGATTTTTTAATTTCATCAAATTTTTTATTTGGATGTTCCAATTGACAATAGCAGACACAAGTACGTGTAGGTTTTGTGAAGAATGGACTACCGCAGTCTTCCCAGGTGGGCAAAAGCAGCTAAAGCATTAGCGGCACAAAGCTTTATCTGTGTATGAATGTTTGTTTACCATCTACGGGAGCATCTGCAGCTGGAGTGGTGGCGCCGTCTTCAGCATCTGGGGCAGCCGCTAGCAATAAAAGGTCATGCGGGAAACAAATTAGTGACATTACTCATGAAGGTAATCAATACGCGTCAAGCTCATTTGATCAACTTGGGTTCACTGAACCACACAAAGCTCCCGCATAGAGAAGAAGAGGACAAGAAGAAAAAACAGTGGAAGAGTCCAAGGGCCAAAAATTGATCATGATACATTTCCAGCCAAAATTAGGATTTTTTTCATTCATAGAGAAATACTTTAAGATCTAGGCAAACAGGCAGTGATTTACGCTGAAACTCGACTGTCAATGTCGAACAATTAACAGGACAAAATATGGCAGGTCACGAGCAAGAAATGCTGTTTGCATTTCTTCCTCATGACTGTGCAGCAGCCCAGAGACACACATCTTGTATTACAGCTCGCATGTATGTGGACTGCCTGCTCTGTGTGTTTACCCTCAGTCAGGGTTGTTGCACCTGCTCCTTCCTCTGTGGGATCAGCTAAAGTTTGAGGTTTCATGTTGAACTTAGCACCCAATAAAGTGTATGAGCCACTTTACTAAACCTACCAGTGGTGTACATCGCCTGCTAGATCTGGTGATCAGACTATCAGCACGAGATGAAGAACGACTGCCTTTGTTTCTCTAACACAGTGAAGGGCAAAATGAACAGAAATTCATGAGGATATCAGTGGTGGCTCCTTGCTTTTAGCACATAAAGTACGCTCATCCCATGCATTCTACGCTGCCACTTGTCCCATCAGCAACTGTTTGTGCAGGGTGCCGCAACTGCAGGCGCTAACGTATTGATGGGAGGAAAAATAAAAATGGGATTTGAAAAACAGATAATGAATTAATTAATAAATAGCTAAGTAAACAAACAAACAAACAAACAAACAAACAAACAAATAAATAAATAAATAACAGGCAGATTTAGTAGAATGGGAGAGTAAAATGCATTTCATAACTCATATAAATTGGAACATTGACCTTACATGGGAAAATCAGGCATTATATTAAAAAATGGCTGAATGTCCTCCATGTTCAAAATGTGGAAATTAATTGCTCAATATAGCAAAAAATAAGACGTGCATCCAAGTTGGTCTCACACCTCAAGTTTTCTTCCATTTTAGCATGGGGTGGCCGGTATAATCTTTTTATATATTTGTTTACTCTTAATCCATTTCTACTTCTGCTCTGTGCGTGTACGTTCAGTTAATTACACAGGGCCGGCCAAAAATTAAAAAAAAGAAAAGAAGAAAAAGAACAATTCTGCCTCTATTTAATCTCCATAATGACAACAGGGCCGGCCAAAAATTAAAAAAAGAAAAGAAGAAAAATAAAAAATTCTGCTTCTATTTAACCTCCACAATGACAACAATATTATTTCGGTTCTCCCCCCTAAACGTTTAATCTTTGATTCATTTTTTTTACTTAGAGGTTAAAGTTACTGCACATCGTTTGTTAAACAGCACGTTGACTTAGTAAAACAGGGACAGCTTTCTACTCCAGAAAGCGTTTTCTTGCGGTTAGTCTTGTACCTGGAGGGCTCCCCTCGGCCGCGGGGGCATCCTCTGCCGGGCCCGCGGGAGCCGCGTCCCCCTCGGCCGCAGCCACCGGAGCGGCCTCTGCAGGTGGGGCTTCTGCAGGTGGGGCTTCTGCAGGTGGAGCTTCTGCAGGTGGAGCCTCTGCAGGTGGAGCCTCTGCAGGTGGAGCCTCTGCAGATGGAGCCTCTGCAGCAGGTTCAGGTTCGGGTGCCTTATCAGCAGCCTTCTTGGCTGGAGACTTCTTGATGGGTGCAGGTTTGCTCGGCATCACGATCTCAGACACACAGCTCTGTGCTGGGAGCGGGAATCTTTGGCAATACATATAGTGATGCTTGGACGTCTTGTTGGGAAGCTCCACCCCCCCCACCTGACCCGCCTACACACTTCATTAACATATTCTTCTTTTAGATTGCATCCAAAAGATTTTTCAGACTAGTTGAGGTTTAAACATGAATGCAACATATTTTAAAATAGCTCTATATAATAACAGCACCAACAACTTCCCCTTGGCACAGAATCATAAACGTATCTGTTTAAATGCAAGGGACTGTGAAGATTATACCTAATCTGCTTACTTTTAGATAAATGCATTTTCATTTGCATAGAAAATAAACTAGATCAAAAGTCAGGTGATAAGAAATTAGAGTGTAAGTTTCCTGAACTGTTCTGTTCAGCTGGTGTGTGTGGCCTCAAATCTTTCAAAAGCACAAAACACTGACTGAAAAGTTCAAACGGATCAGATGGTCTCACACCTCTTGTCTTTTCTTTTTTTGTCAATGCTATGTTGGGCTGAAGTGGAATTGAAAGTGAGAACTAGAAAACGTGTTGCGCCCTCCAGTGGGCAAGAGCAACAGGAAAAAGCAAGCAGACAGCCTAGACATGTAATGGTTTGAAGAATGGCATGAATTTATTATGTCCATCACTCAATGTTAGACATATGGAACTTCATGTTGTTACAGACGCGTGCCTTGAAACCATTATTAGACCCAGTTTTTAAGCCAAGTGCTCCTTCTGGCTTGAGGAAGACAACAAAACCACAGAGGATGCTCATTTTCTACATACAGGGGCCAGGCTTCTTCCATCTCTTTAGTTGAAGTGATTGTTGTCGCAGATGCAGGGACTATTTACAGTGTTTACAACAGTGATGTCATGTACAAAAGAGAAATAAACCTTTACAAATATTTGCATAAGAAAAGAACCAAATGTCTGCTCTTAAAAACAAACTGAAAAGAAGAAGATATCCAGTTATTAAAAAATCTCTCCCATGTTAAGGTTAAGCCATGGTAGGTCCAATGAAAGTAAATATTTGGAACACACCAGGGATCCACGCTTTGGGCTTTGCATCTCAAGGCTGAAATCTGTCCTTGCACTGTTTTCCACTCTCAGGCAACTTCTCAAAGATGGTGAGAATTTCACACTCTCAATAAGTGTCAAGTCGAACACAAGCGGCCCACTTATGGTACACATTCTCTTTCACTGCAGAGTTAACAGATACACACGTCGTTTATGAATGGTTTATCTACCTGTCAAAGGTCCAAACAGATGACCCACTCTAAGCCTAAATATTATTGGTCTTAAGGTGACTATATCAAAGTGGCATTAGAGTCGGTAAGAGGAAGGAATTGTCTTTCCTCGAAATGGAGGCCTCTGTGTGCTAAATCGTAGCAGCTGAACAGCAGCTTTAGGCCAAATTGTGTTTCAGGCACAGATTGACTTAGGCATAGTGTCCCTCCTTTACAAAACAACTCAAGTGGAAAGTTGAGTGAACATTGGGACAGAATATGGCAGTCTGACGGTACTTCAGGGTCGAGGGGACACAGAATTCACTATGACCAGCAGTTTCCTCCTTATTTCCGTCATCACGTCATGATGTGAGCAGTAAATACTGTAATCTGCCACTTTTTAATCCCATTAAAGGACAGAAACTGGTGGAAGGCTTGTGAATAAATAACTGATTCAATCATTTTCATAATAACCTTTAGTGATGAGCAGGAAGCAAAGTCATCATCAGTTTGATTAAAACTAACATGATCACAGAATCTAGGGGACAAATGCAAAGAGGAAGGAAAAGTTACTTTGCATTTCTTTCTTCCTCAACAGCTGTCTACTGTGACAGAAATGATCTGACAGTAACAACCACAGTGCATCTTGCTGTCAATGTCTCTCCCTCTGTGGCATTCTGTGTGTATACAAGGTGACTACTGAAGATGACTTAGTATAAAATCCTACAAAATCAAGATTTTCCAAAAGCTGTACTCTCAGCTTTTACAAGAGAGGTTTGGATTTTAAATACAGAATATACTGTACGCAAGCATAGTAAGAAATGGTAGATCAACAAGCAGTCTTTTAGTCTGTGTTAATATTCTATTGTTTCTGCGATTATGAGAGTTTCCTCAAAGATTCCCCCTGAAGCCGGCTCTTTATTCATCCATGCACATTTCACTTGCAGCGTCACGGTTCTGATATCTGATCATGACAACTGGCGGAACATAAAGGAAGATAACATTCAAGGCCATGTTCATAATTGTGTTTTTGTTGGTTTGTTGTATTCTGCTGAGCACCTTTGAGAAGACAGAAAGCACATAGGTCAATAAATACTGCCATCTACAGGACTGACTCATGAACTGCATATTTTGGGCCACGAACAGTACCCCGAAGCGACACCACTCACTCCCACAGCCCTCTAAAATCCAATTATCAAAAGTAAAAAATAAAGTGCATTTTGGCTGTTCGCAAGTGATGGTCCTACTTGTAGGGGAGACATACTATCATCCTTTGAAAGGAAGTCTGCTTTCAAATAAACCCATGGAGCACCAGTAGTTGCTCTGACATTGAAAAAGAAAAGAAAAGGGAACAATTAGTTCCTGATAAACAGGATTATAGGTATTATTTGCATCATACTATTCTGGTCACCATGCACTTGCAGATTCAAGAACAACCCAACTGGTACAAGCTGAGGCAAAGAGGGAAGGACAGGTCCATGACTTCCCCCAACGTTAGCATCACAGTTTCCTATTAAAGCAGTTTAATAGTCTTTCTGATTTTGTGGTAGCAGGGCAGATCAAACCCTTCGTCCATAATGACTATCTTTACATTGCGCTTTGCATCTGCTCAGTGAGCACACAAAAAAGTTAATAACTGAGTTTTAAATTCTCTGCTGTGATGTAAAGTCTGTATCTCTCAAGCTTCATGGACAGCCAGCTCAGAGTGTCGGCTGCAGGGTGGGATCCGGGCAGCCCTCCCTCTCTGGAGACTCAATGTAGTTGGCTGACTCCTGGAGTTTCAGCAGCATGGCCATCTGAGGTGCAAGAGGGGACACAGGGGTAGAGTGAGTGGTTTATCCTCCAATAAATAGGCATAGCAGTAGTGTTTTAAAAACACTACTGCAGTAGTGTGTCAAAACCCAATCTGAGTCCACGTCGGGGGGGGATTCGTGTAATCACCGTCACACTTCCTTTTTTGTAATGCATTTTAGAATACAAAAAAACACTTCCTCTTCTCGCCGTGACACACTGACAACATCCAACTGATGAAACAGGACATGCATTTTTTCTGGAAAATAACGGGGTAACGGGTAACTTTTATCTAAACATTCATTTGAAAACAGTTCAGGTTGTGGTGGATGTTTCTACATGCCCTCAGCTTAAGTATTTCTGTATTAAGTGAAGCGATCGGTTTATTTGGCTGAGACCAACAAACTCACCAGTGGGTCTGACTCCAGTGTGCTGGGTGGAGGTGTATCTTTGGAGGGCTTCTTCTCCTCACTTGGTAGACCTATGCTAGGTGGAGGAAGGTGAAAGAGCCTGGACTGGTCCTGCTGTGCATTGGGCCAGGGGAGAGTACCTCTCACCCACTCCACAGGATCCTCCCAAACTGCCTTATGACCATGTACCTGAGAAAACAAATAGACAAGAGTTGCAGAATTGTACTTAAATAACGAGCTTCTGGTTCATGTGCCTAATGTAAGGCTTTGTTTGTTTTCACCTTTATGCCATCCTTGGCTCCCTCCTGCAGGTACGGTATGATGGAGTGGTTCCACAGGTCAATGAACCACTGCCTGAACTCTGCCATTGACACTGGGCATGACAAGAAGAAGCAAGGACCTAAAGGGGACACAACACAGACTGTTAACGCCGCTCTATTGGCTGAGCCAATTCCCCCAATCAGACTCAAGGGACCTCAAGTGTGCACTCTGTCTCACCTATGAGGAAGTCTGATGTGCTGTGTTTTTCCAGGAACGTGTGCAGGTGGTACCACAGCTGAGGTATCCAGTCCAGAACACAGAGGAGAGCCTGGCGGTTTGCGGAGTCCTGCTCCTCATCCTGGTAGGCCTCCACAGCTTTACGATGCAGGTACCTCAGCAGAAACCCGTTTGCAGGCTCCACATTGTTGGAGAACATCACCATTCTGTTGCCAGATACCAAAATTTGTAGTTTTTAAAAAAGTTTATCTGTGAGCTCTAAGCTTTGCATGTAATCACATCACAACTGACAGAAGTATAGTGTACGTTGGCTGGCTGCTGACCTGAAGCTGAGGTGCAGCCCGTGATTGGATGACATCCTCACAGGCTGATTGGTGGTTCCAATTATATAGGGACTGAAACACCAACAGAGGATAATACGTTTAGCTGTCACAAAAAAACAAATCCTTTTTTATATTTTGACGAAATACTGTAACTGAACCACACACCATCTGTGATACTTGCAGGTGAGAGCTCCATTAACAAGTTCAGTGATGGCTGCTGGATCACTAATGTCATCTATAATAACAACCAACGGCAGCTCTCCTCCGCTCTCTCTGTCAATTTGATTGGCTAGATTTGACAGATACAACTGCAAATCCTGCAATTAAAGGTAGAGTTTAATGCAATGTTCAGGCGGAGGAACAACAGTTTCAAATGAGTCTAAAAAGGACTAATCCTAGTGGGCTATACCTTCTGTGACTGGCGGTGCATGTTAAACGTGACAGCAGCACAGCGACCTGAGACACATGGCTCATGGTCGACCTCAGACGAGTCCATTCTGCTGCGATGTAGGAGGTAGTGAGCCAGATTCTGGGCCAGATAGGTCTTTCCTGTTCCGCTTGGGCCGGAAAGAACCAGACGCCTGTGTTTCAACAGCAGGCTGATGTAGTGCAGCATCATGGGCTTAGGTATCAGAGTCTCAAACACCAGTGAGTCGACGCATTTCTCTCTGAGACCTTTTTCAGAATAAGTAACAATGGAGAAAGAGTAGAGAGAGAAAAGGAAAATTTAGAGGCATTTACCTATTTTAACATATTTGTTTACACATCTGTTAATTGTAGCCAGTAGCCATTTCTTTAAATCCGATTTTCTTGTAATTTAGAAAAAAGTAGCAATGAAAATATATATTCAATTTATCTTAATAATCTTATCAAAGAATTAAAAATAATTGATTTTAGAGTTTGATCCAGATAGCCTGAGTTGTTTCGATTGAAATTAACAGACCCCTTCCTTTTACAAACTGATAATAGCTTCCAATTTGTAACTTATTTTCTGAGATGTCACAAGTTATACTGACTTTTCAATGCTAAAATTACTTATTTTTCTTCCTAATAAAACACTTTCCCCATTTGGAGGTTTGGGTTGAAAACTATCATTACTAAAAAAAAGTAAAGGGAAAAGACTACTGTCAAGGTAATAATAATTTAATTAACTAATCACTTAATCATTCATTTCTTTAACCTGTTGAAATTTTATAAAAATACATATTAATTAGCAGTGGTAATAAATCAAAAGAGGAAGCACAATATAATTTATTTGAACATGTTCTTTTCTTTTAAGAAGGTGGGCTGGTGAAACCTGAGTGCCGTGCTTGTAGGTCTGTGATTAATGTAACAGAGATGCAGCTGTGAGCTGCGTGTGAACAGAAGGGGTCAGAACACCCATAATCAGCCATAAAATGTGAAGATAGCTTCAAGTTCCTGGATAACAGTTATCCAAATGTCAAAGGCCATATTGAGTGTCTCAAAGAGGAAATAGGAGCCTGGTTGACCAAAGCAATGAGAGGGTATCTCAGTATTTCTTTTTCCTCACTGCAGTGATGGCAATAAAAGCCTGTTAAACTTCATCACAAGAGGATATCTTCTTACTAGAGTAGCACATACTTAGCTATAAACTTAACAATAATATCAGGTAACTGCCTAATCCCCTTTTATTTTTTTCAAAGTTCACGCATTTATACTTTCTGACCACCACTGATGTGGTTGATTGTACCAGAAATTTAACTGTAAATCTCTAATCATTTTAGAAATTTTTGAACGAGTCATTAGTTTTAACATATCAAGAAACTAAGCAACAAGCATGGCATACATTGGTACGACTAACCTTTTAAGGTGACATGTATTCGTGCAGGTCCATTGACGAGACATCGATAAGGCATGGCCTGGGGGTTGTCCCCTCCTATCACCCTCTGCCCTGCATGAGGGAGCTGGTACATCTGCAGGGAGTCAGAGGTCAGGCCCAGGCTGGCTGTCGGGTCCACTTGATTTAAGTACTCCTGCAAAAAAAAAGAAAATTATAACCAAGACCAGGATTGAATAACCGTGTTAGCAACAGAACCTCTGTTGAATATCGAGAATCTAAATAAATCTGCCTTACCTCGAAGGTCTTTATTATAAGGGAATCCAGAGAAGTCCAGTCAGTCGTTGCACCAATCAGCACTGAGCCCAGGTAGAACTCCTGCTGCTGTTTATTGTCCTACAGAGAGAATAAAGCCCACATATTTCTCTGTAAAAAGCCTCCACATTATCTGATTTTATTCACAAAGCTCTTTGTTTACCTCTTTTTCCCCAATATGCACAAATACTTTTGTACGTTGCTCTTCACTCTGAGAGGAAACACTCAGCGAGTCACCCTGGTTCAGTTCTGAAAGGGAGAATGATACAATGAATGAATAAACAACAAAGTGCAGGCCGGCATGAGCTACTGCACATGTGGTAAGTTCTGTTCTTTTTCTACCTGGATCTTTACAATCATTCAGGCTGAGGCTGAATGATTTGGTGAGGGACATGCTCATTGGCTGCCTCAGTGAGGGCCCCAGGAGAGAGGCCAGGCCAGAGGGCTGGGAGGTGGAGGACGTGGGACCAGAACCAGTTTTCAAGTGATCATTTTCCGCTTTCAGGTTCTCCACCGTGGACTGGAACATAATTAGATTTGTACTCCAAGTTAAGAATGCATGGATAGTAACTGAAGTATCAAAGACAAGCAAGAGCATACCATACTGAGGATCACAGACAGAAAAAAAGACAAACCTGCATGTAGTTCATAGCATCTCTAAGCTGCTCCAGCTGATGCGCAGAGCTTAAGGCCTCCAGTCGGATATCTGTAAGTTCTCTCTCTTTCTCCCAGAGCTCTGTGCGCAGCTCCGACACTGCTGTGTCACCACTGTCTCCTTCCTCTGCAGTTTCCATGATCCTAGACAAGCCGTGATTCTATTGTCAGACAGATAACCCAGAAAGGCTGAACTGACGGGCAGAGCTCTACCTGTATACTTACACTGAAGAAGTGGCAGACGCTGAGGGTTTGAGCGGGGAAGGTTGGTTGTCGCCTGTTTCTCCCCCTTCATGAGCCATCTTTGGGGAGTTGGGAGCGGAAGAATCTGGGGTGGCGATTTCCTCAATATCCGAGTAGGTTTTGGAGCCTTTCTTAATGCTGAAAGCCTTGTTGAAGGAGCTCCTCAGCTGTACAGAAACATAGGAGGAGACACTTAAACCGAGATACAGTCACAAAAAAATGGAATTCAATAACCAAGAAGAGGGAAGAAAGAGGGAAGTGTTAGAATTGTTACCTTAATACATGCTTAAGGTTAAAGGAATAGTATGTCAGTTTGCAGCATATAAGAACACTTAAGAACGCTATTTAAATTTTTGCAAAAAATGAAACCTGGTCGTTTACAAGCTTCAGTGAAGCTGACGAGTTTTTAGTGGGAGCACCACAGTAGCTGTTTCCTTTTGTTTTAACCTTCATGATGAACAAAAGTTTGAGTTTCGCAAAGTGAAACTCTGTGGGAGCACAGACTCTACAAACTTCTCAATTTGAATAAAATGAACTCCTAAATGCATACTTTTCATCTATACATGTTTGCATCTTCCATTCAGATTTGTGAGGTTTGACAATTTATCATTTACATGTATGCATTTAGCAAACACTTTAATACAAAGTGATTCATTGGTCTATCAATTTTCTTTTGATATTCTATGTTCTATATATTCTATGTTCTGTTGTTTGTTTGTTTTCCGGAATTTGTCAAAGAGCTGTATGAAAAAATATATTTTACTTTGAATATTGTTCAAACATTTCAGAAAAGTTGTGTTGTAATACTACAATCTTTACAAGTGGTGGAATCAGCTCAGCAATATTCACAAATATTTATCCATGTGTAACAGACAAACTATTCCTTAAAGCTTTCAGTCACAGCATTGACCTACTTGTTGGGTCAGTAAATGTTAAATGGAAACGTATATTGGTCACAATACTGATTACACTCAATTTTACTGAATGATAAAATACATCTATTTGAATTACAAGCAACTGATACTTAACCCTGCATTTTAAAAACTAAATCTGAACTGTAATCTTTTTATGGAGAATCATGTCTGCTGCTTGACCCTCTGACTGAATGAAAGCCAATGACTCCAATCAAATGTGTACTGATCAGGTTGCCAAACCAGTAGTGTCATAGGTCACTCAGCAGAGATGGAGGGACTGTGCTGAAGTTTGTAATGATCCATCATGCTGTTTGAGAGAAATGATGAAGGCTTTATTGTTACACAGTGATGGTACTCACCTCAAATACCTGAAACAGCAAAATAATACAACACAAAGGAGGAAAATACAGATCAAACTCCATCCATGCTGTTTTGTCATGATCATAAAGAACAATGGGTGGGCAAACACATGGCTGTGAGGATAAAAGAGTGCTGTGTAAACATAATGTATTTTTTTTACCCAGCTCTTCTTCTTCTTCTTATTCTTGGCATCTTGATCTTTCAAGCTGCCAATACTTGACATGCTGGTTAAGCTGTTCAGACTGGAGAGGCTCTCACATGAGTTCTGACGCTGAATACGCAGGTCTGGAGAACAACAACACTCAATTAGTTAAGGATGTTTGGAAGCAGGGAAAAAGACATAGAAAGATGGTTAGAAAGCTGCAGACCTTTTGTGTTATCTGGGTTGTTCAAGGCTCCATGTATGACAGCCTGAGCTTCTTCATTCCTGGTCTTGAGGGACTCGATGGTCTCACGGAGCTCCATGAGCTCAGAGTCCTGCTCAAACAGTATAATAATACATTTTAAAAGTCGCCACCAAAACAGCTTTGATCTGCCTTATTATTGGTTCTGCAAGTCTGAGAACTTCACTGAGAGGCGCAAACACTGATGTCCTGATTGAGACAGGAAACGATTTTGATGTGAAAATAATAATAAAAAAGAAATTCTAATGAATAGAATAAAATAAAAATGGATGTATTCTCTCATTCTTTTTGGTGTGGAGTTAATCTTGTATGGTCCTTTATTCCCGCAGTTCAACTTAGACAAACAATATGAGCTCATACACCTGGCCGGCTTAATCCCCCTCACAATGTGAGCAAAATGACAAAGTCCAGAACAATAAATCTTCTCTGTGCTGCTTAATATCTGCTAAAGTCAATCCCACTTTACTCTAAATGGAGCCAGCCCGTCCATCTCCTCAGGGTTCAAGAGTCTGTGCTCCAGGCAGCTCTGCACAGGTCAGTGCGCTGGCACTAACAACAAAGACTTTTCTGGTGCGGTCTAGACAGAGCTTTCAGAGAGGGCAGCAAGGCATGAAGAACTCAAAAAGACTCCTAACATCCACACACAAACACACACACGCACACACAGAAAACTCCCTGAGGCTCTGATCGGTCCTCACCAAAACAGGCAGAAGAGTGCAGGAACATTACCGTATAATGCATAACTGCAAACTGTTTAAATCAAGTTAGTCATTGAGCCATAAAAGTTTTTTTTTTCCCTTCATTCAAACTCTGTCTACCTCTTTTACCAAGTCACCCCACGATGCTGCATTCTGGGGCTCTAACCTACAACAACTTCCAAAGCAGCTTCCGAGCTGTGATCAAAGTCACCCCACACTGTGCTGGCTCTTAGCTGAATGCTCTTTAGACATGCACATTGCTGGAATAAGCTGGAATTCATGCTTGTGTGTTTTGGTGCAGAGGGGGTACCTTTTGTTCGTGGCTTATTGACAGACTCTGGAGACGAGCTGTCATCATCGTCAGACTTTGCTCAAAGGCAGCCACCAGATTTGCCTGTTAAGAAAAGATGACATACAGAATTGGTAAATTATTGCATGCTCAAAATGGTTACATGCAACAGGATATCAACATAATTTAGAAGCAGGCTTTTGCAGCCAGACATGAAGACAGAGAAACAGTCAGTCATTTCTAGTGCCCTTTCAACCCATTTAAATGAGGTCCTAATAAGAGTAAAGCACAAAAGCTGAAAAGGATGCTGTGTGTGCAAGATACCATTTCATCCTAATCTCTCTCTCTCTTGCACACACTCTGTTTAATCCATTAAAAAAGGGAAACTGTTGTCTATTCTCATTTGAAATATTTTTGTTAGAACTTAAAAATTACAATCTGCCCAGTCATGATAAGATCAAATTTGCAAAAATGTCTCACAGGAAGAAACACACACAGAAATTACAACAGGGACGCTCTGTGAGAAATCATGTGAAATGTCGGTATTTAACACCTGACCAAGCAAAACTACTGACCAGGTCATACAGGCATAACTTTGTAGTGAAGGAAAAAAAGATGAAGCTCGAAGGTATAAATGTGTGTCTACAGGTTCAGGGGGAGGTTAGGAAGACTCAGGCTCAGCATAGACTAGAAATGTGGTGAGACAGTGAAATATGTCTATGACTGATACTCTACAGGCTGGGTTTTAAATCTCTCCATGGCTTCTTGTGCATGAAGGGTAAATTCCTGGCCTTGTCTGAACAGAGGCTGCTCTCACTCCCAGCATTCCACATACATAATGTCAGGACGCCTCCCTGACACATCTTTGAATGTTATTTTTAAAGAAAATGAATGTATACACCACAAACATCAATCTTTAATTTACAATACAATAACCTATTTATCATCCTGTTCCCACCTAAAAATTGTATTGTATGCAGAAAATTCAAAGCGATAATAGTTTAGAAATAAAAAAACGAATTGTTTTTTGACTGTCAGCTGTCATTGTTTCAACAACTGTGGCGCCTCTGTGATTATCAGTTACTTTAGCCTGAAGGTAGTTGACACTGAGGCAGATGCTTCATCAAAATGACTGACATGAACTGCTACGACAAATCAGAGGGAGGCGCTGCAGCTAATTCTTCAGCTGCCTTGAGGCGAAAGACTGCATATTGCAGCTTTAATCCTGTTGTTCAAATGGTATTCAGCAAGATTAGGTGGGGGAAATGGAGACGCATGTCCCCAAAGGCTCTTACGGATACTCTTTTCTGTCTGAAAATGACATTAGTAGCCAATAGCAGTGAATTATTATTCATCCTATTTCCTATTTTCTGTTGATGAGGATGTATGTGATGCAAGAACCTTTCCAAAGAATCCTTTTTAAGGATTTTTTTTTTCAGTAAAAACAAACAAACTACAAAATGTCAGATTAAATGAAATATCTCCTGTGCTATTATTTGCAAAGGAGTTCCTGTACTAATAATGGATGCTTTGGACCACAAGTATATTGTACTCACATTTGCTGTTAGCTGTGTGGTCAGGCAGGACACCTTCTCCTGGGATGATTCCAACTCTCTCCTGAGCTTGCGAACTTGCTGTGAGAAAAAAATAAAACTACATTACAAAACAGCAAGGAATAACCAAACTTGACATTGGATTATGTTATCCAGATGAGGGGGTGGGATGAATGAAATTATTAACAGACTTGCTCTCCCACAGACAACATGAAAAAGTGATGGTTGAAATAAAAGAAAGAAGCAGGGCAAGATATACAAGACTTACCTCTCCCTGAATCCTTTCCTCAGCCTTAAGAAGGAGGAGGGATAAAAATCAAGATGTTAGATAAGACAGAAAGGTGAAGAGAGACGTGGAGAAAAGGTGAGAGGAGAGGAGACAAGAAAGTACCCGACGCAGTCTCAAGTTTTGTTTAAAGTGTTAAGCAAGAGTAAAGCATCACCTTACACACACCCATACATCCATCACTGATCTGTATCTACCTGAGTCTGCATGCTTTCCACACTCACCGAAGAGTAGCTGGAGGAGGCGTTGGATGCCAGGGAGAGCACAGACCCATGAACTGGAAAATAAACATCAATCTCATTTTAGAAAAACAAAGTACCGGGCTATAAACAACAAATATCAGATCAAGTCAGGTGACCCACCTTCGTCATTAGGCTCCCTGTCCCTAAAAGAACCGGAGCGGACCATCCCCATGCTTCGAGGACGCTCAGACAGCGACAGTGTGCTGCCCAGCGGAGATGCCCCGTACAGCTCCAAGGAAGCGTCGTGTGTTGGGATGCTGTTGGATCGAATCATTCTTGGAGGACCACCAACAGGGCTGGGTACTTTGAGAGGAGAACCATTACTATAGAGAATTTAACAAATAATATCAGTACGGTTGCTGTAGGTACATACCCATACTGGTCTTTGAGGTGCGGGGTAGGGAGGTGGGTGAGGACAGCAGAGGAAGAGCAAGTGAATCAGTCATACTAAGGGCAGCATGAGAGTGCCTCCTCTCTCCTTTGTCTTTCCCTTCCTCTTCAACCTGGGAAGCACCGTTGAAACTGCAGACAGTGAACAGAAGTACAACAGCTGAAAAAATCAATGGCAGCATCTCTGGTTTGGGAATCTTTAAATAAATCTACAAACACAAATCTTATGAGTAGTACCCACTGACATATCATTCTGAAAAGAGGCTTTTACATAAACCAGTGATGAAAATAATTTTTCTGTCCAATGGACCAGACCAACCCATGCTTCTCACATTAATGAAATTTTTGTACAGGTACATCTATCGATCAGAGCATGACGGTTGACTGAGCAAAACTTTATTAAATCAGCGTAGAGGATTTTCCTTCTGGACCAATAAGCTCTCATTTTTCTGAACTTTGTCAAACCCCCCTCACAGTGTATCAGATCATTGTTGAAAATAATACTGTGTGTGTCATCTCCCTTTTCTGTGCTGCAATCATTAAGAAGAGGAGGCATTTAATAGATATTGTATTTACTGTAATCTTTAGCTACAGATATAATAACATAAAGCAAATAATATACTGTAACTTATGGATTTATGGTCTCGAGGTACTTTCATAAACTGCTGTGTGGGCTTCACAGTTAGTGCAGTAGCATTCATAAGACTGTGTGTTTAAGAAAGTAGGTGTATGCATGTACCCACATACCTTAAACCTTTCTTTGGCAGTGTGTTTCTGTCTCTCTGAGAACTGTGAGGATTGAACAATACCGTTGTTAAAGAACAATTGCAGGCAGTTATTAAACTCTCATGAACAGGCAGCACAAAGAAGAACAGTAGGACTAGCAAACAGCCAGCAATTATGACTTCACACATTGGTGCCAGCTCCCTCACTGATAACAGGCTTGTAGTAAGAATAGGTCAGAAGCCCACCCGTCTACATGTGTGTACTGTATGTGTGTGTGTGTGTGACTATCCTCACTTGAAGTTTGATACATTTTGTAAATGAGAATTATTCTCATTAAGCCAAACACATTAACGTAACACTAGGAAGCTCTGTTTCGAACACGAGGTTCCAATGTACGTATTCGCAAAGGTGTTTTCTTAATTTCCTATCTTCCAGGATTTATAAGGATAAATATGGATCTTTTAGTGTTTTCTAAAGCCCCATCAAAATATCCTTCTGTCTCCCCATTAAAGGATGATGATATGTGAATATACCGTTGGACGATATGTTTGGTACGAAAGCTTTTTCTACAGATCACATCAGCCCATCCTGAGCTGCTGATAATACTGGTGTAATTCCACATTTGGTCATAAGGTGGGGCTACATGGCTGCTTTGTTTTTACAGCCAAGATCTATTTGGGTGGGCGGTGGTGTGGTGTGGTGGTTAGCACCATTGGCTCACAGCAAAAGGGGTCTGGGTCAAGTCCTTGGGGGTACAAGGAACTTTCTTTGTGGAGTTTGCATGTTCTCCCTGTGTCTGAATGGGTTCTCTCGGGGTTTTGCCCTGCAATGGACTGGCGGACCGTCCAGGGTGTACCCTGCCTCCCGCCCATTGACTACTCCTGTCCACCCATTTTTTAAATAAGCAGTTCAGAAAATGGATGGATGTATTTGGGTTAAACAGCAGTAAAATACAGTTTTAAAATAGCATTTTAACAGTGCTCTACTGACCTGTCTGTGAGAGTCAAAGACACTTTACTTGCAGAGCTCCAGTTGGATGGAGGGCGTCTGTCTTCGTGTCTTTCTTTGTCTCGGGATTCTAAGGTAGTGTAGCCTCTAACTAAAGTCTCTCTGCCTCTGTCTTTCTCTTTCTCGTGGGGTTCTGGGGCCAGACTCATCTGCAGGGGGAGAGACTCCATACTGCGATGCAGCCCAGACACCCTCTGGTAAAGCACGGGAGATGCGCTCCCTTCACTCCCCTGCACACCGAGGGAGGTAACCTGTCTGGGTCCCAATCCAATACCAGAGCTAGTAAAGCAAGCTGAGGAGTTAACATTGAGTAGAGGAGCAGGACTGGGGGTTAGGCCGCCTGTTGAACTGCAAAGGTCTTGGAGTTTGGAGTAGGGAGGAATCTTTGGAGGCAGGGCATCCTGAACTTCAACCTCCAGACTGTTGGAGTTTAGCTTGTCAAGCTGGACCATGGATGGAGGTTTCGCCAGGCTACGTACACCAGACAATCTGAAGAAACAAAAAGATGATGTAGATGCATGCAAATGAACACTTTATTTGTACCAGTGAGAGAATGGAAATGCATCCAGACTATACCTGTGCGTGTTGGATGATGGTTGATCCATGGCCTTTCCATTGCTGGGTGGTCTCAGTCCATATAGCTTTCCACCAGTGTCAGAGGGGGTCTGAGCTGGGCTGCCCTTCAGAGATCCACTTCCACACTCAGAGTCAGATACTACAGCTTTAGCTTTGGCTCTTTCTTTCTCCTTCTCTCTGTCTGTTTGATTGACAGGACCAGGACTGGGGATCCCGCGCCCCCCAGCCTTACTCAGCCCTGTTCCGAGCCCTGAGGTGGGCTCTTTGAGTTTCGAGCCCTGCTGTGCTGTGGTGGAAGGTTTGATAAGTCCAGAACCTGCGTCCATGGTGGTGCTCATTGGTCGAGCTGAGCTTGGCCGGGTTAGAGTCAGAGTATTTGTCTTTGCTGGGCGAGGCAGAGAGCGGTACTGGAGAGATGTTCTCGCGTTTGGAGACAGAAAACCACTCTGGTCGCTGTTCGAAACATCTAGACTCGTCTTGCGTCCTCCACCACCTGTAGCTGGCTTGACAGGAATACCAGATGTTTTGGGAATTTTCCCTATACTAACGGAGCTACTGGGTATGGAACTGACACCTGCATTTGTTACAGTGGGTGTACAGGCATTGTTTGCGCCATCGCTGGCTGCGCTGAGCTTCTTGAAACCAAAGTTTCCACCAGCAGAAGACCTGGCGAGGCCAGATGGAGGTTTACGCTGATCACCAGCCCCGCTGCCATTGCGATGGTCTTTCCCAGCATCAGATGAGGAGCGCTGAAGTCCTGAAGTCTTCACTGCTAAGCGAGACTTGTCGATGGGCTTCCCATCAGACTTCATAGTGCCTAAAGCAGAAACCAAATGTGATGAGCTTGTATAAGCACTGTCCAGTGAAGACTGAGACTAACCACGGCATAATGGGACATATTATCTAATCTAAACACCTACAAGGTCTGACTGTCTGCTGATAAAAACAAATCCCTGGGAAGACAGACAGCTCGTAAACCAGACTCACAGACAACTTTACCGTCTCACACACACTATTATCATGCAGTTACTCCTCTTTTCCATCCTGATGAGCAAAAATAGTTTGTGTTTCCAGTAATGATTTGAGTTTTCTGGTACATTCTGTCAGAGCTGTGGAGGGCTGAGAAGAACACGAGCAGCATGCCTGTGGAAAAGTGGCGGTCATGCTCATGAAACGTGTCTGAGGCAAAAAAGGGGTCAAAACACTCAATCTAACTGAATTTCTCCACACTTGGAGGCTCTTTGAAAAAAGAGCATGGAAGGAAAATTAACTGGGAGAAATTATGGGTGGTTTTATCAAATTTTTAAGCATTTCTCAATCAAATTAATTTGATTTCATTGTAAAGTGAGTAACAAACTATGAGCAATGAATGCATTACCCACACAAGTCCATGCTACCCACACACTTAATTCATATCTAATGGGACTTGTTAAGTGAGGTTTATATAAACGGCATTAACAAAGTCAAAAACTGCTGTTGAGCGAGACCCACCGGCGTGCTGCCTGGGGACATCTGGAGTCACTTAGGTAGTATTTAGAAAACCCACAAAAGACACACATGCACAATTTTTAGGCAGACATGTATACCCCACACACTTCACAGTTCCCAGTGTTTGAATCCTATAGGAATGCGACACTGACAACAGATTATGTCTGGAGTTCTGTCATAAATTCGAGAATTGGGTTTTCATGTCAGGCCATAAACTCAATCCATTTAGCAACCACAAAGTTGCCCCTTCTTAAAACATTAGGGTGAAGAAACACATGGAGAAAATGAAGTAAAAATCGGCTTTTATATGAGTAAAGATTAATTTAGTAGACAGACAGTTGAGCTAAAAAAAACTAAAATCTAAAACTAAAAACTAAATCTGGTCACCACCTTAGCAACCATATGAAGACAATCCTGCAGACTGTCATGTTTTCTTTAACATATTTAATTCTTATATCTTTTTATTGTTTTGATTACGGCAAATTATTTTTGGGGTGGCTGCAGTAGTTATCTTCTTTTAAAATGCTTTATCTGATATGACATGTACCACTGTCCTGCTGGTTGTAGCTAAATAAAATGACCAGAAGCTACTGGATCATTTCAAGGCCAATTTTCCAATGGGGAAAACAAAGATTATTTGATTAAATTTGATTTGACTGAGTGACGCTTGTCCTCTTTAAAGCCCTGCTCGAAATAACGAGGTTAATAAGGAAACAATTTAGTCACAAATCTATTCACTGTCCATGATACATTTGTTTGAAAGAAAATGCATAGTAAAATAGTAGTTTCTTTGTCTGAATTTCTTTCTCCAACTTTCAGCCATTCAAACGTTCTATTTAGCTGCACTCTACATGTACACTCAAATGGTGTGCATATAGACTATCAGTAATATTCTTGCCTTACAGTATGACAAAGTGCAGCAGTTGTCTGCTCCTTGAATGATTTCACTATGTGTTGCTCTACAAACATGCAGAAACTTAACAAATGAGACACAGACAGAAGGAAGCCTCCTGCCAAACCCCCAGAAAGAGCTGAACTCAGACATGAGCACTAAAGACCCCCTCTTAGCTTAAAGAGCTTCTTTCCCTCATGTGGCTAAATTTATGAGCTCCTTCACACTGATACACAACAAAAACTTTATCTTCTGATTGATAGCAGTCTCAAACTCAGAAGCAGGCTGAATTACCACATTGGCAGATTCACACTGCTGACATTAATAACAATAGCAGCCTGGCACACAGATCACAGACTGGTTAAAAACACTTGTCTGGCACATCTATCAGTTCCAACAGCTGGCAATGCAAATACAGGACAGTCCCACAGAAAGATGACTGTTTGCACAAACCCCAACTATCTAGACTGGCACACAACGTGGCTACTAATATCCTGTTGTTTTGCTTCTCTATGTGTGTGTGAGAGTGTGTGTGCTTACGTAAACAGCACACAGATGGTGTGCTTAAAAGGCAGCTGCACAATCCCCACTATTGTGTTCTTTATGCATGTGTGTGTGTGCTAGTGAGAGTGTGTTTAATGCGATGGATGACACTCAATATCATCTGGATCTGCACACACACTATAGGAAACACACGTTGCCTGTAAAGACCTTGATTTTAGCTCCTATAAATTCTTTCTGTCCAGTAAAAAAATAAAGCTTGGACAGGAGACTATAGGGAGGGGAAAAAACACTGTAGCTCCATGAGTGTGTGTGCTTGTGGGGTTGGCAGGCAGGAAGGGTGTGGGTGGTGATGGGCGTTTGATACATGGCACCGCTTTCTAAAGGCCCAGAGGGTGGGCTGCAGCTGTGGATGAATGTGCCTGACAAAGACAGAGAGTGTGTCTGTAACTCTGTGGGTGTAAGACAGCCTGAAAGGAGGGAAAGCTGACAGACAGCCTAGGAAAAGTGATGATCATTTAAGGTTGATAAACTATTTCAAGAGATGCTCCAGAAGACTTCTATAATACAGCATCATCAGTGTGTGTGTGTGTGTATTTCCCCACTCACCTGCTATTTTCAGTCCACTCTGAGAGGTGTGTGTTATTGGGGATGTAATTCCGACAGGTGGGTTTCTTCCTTTTTTTAGTATGTTTCCTTGGCCCAGTGTCTGTGGTTTCCTCAGTTCACCTTTCCCTCCGTCCATCCCTTCCCCTTGTGGTCTGATCTTCTTCCATTTATTGGCAGATTCTGACTTTAGACTTCCTGTATCATAGCCACTTCGGCCTTGGCTCTTGCGGCCAGGTTTGTTGTCATCTGAGTCCCAGGACAGGCCGCTCTCCACTAGAGATCTCTTTTCTGCATCTGTGCGCATCTGCAAGGAAAAACAGACATATACTTAGAGACAACATGCCAAAAAATGAGGAATGAGCCTGTAATCTCAAAGCACCATCTAACCCAATCTCTACTTTCAAGCCAATAAAGCGTTAGGGCTGCTCCTTTAAATTTAAATTTCCAAGAACTAAAAGAAAAATCATCTCAAGCATTCATTAACATGTGAGATTCAGAGAAAAACTTCTGACTGTAAGCTTTGCATCTTTCTGTGTCTGCATGCAAAATAAGATAATTCTGTTTCATGTTCTCTAAATCAGGGGGGGGTTAGTCTGTAACAACTTGACTAACCTCATGTGACAGCATTGATGTTAAGATTCACTTGGGAGATGAAAACCCAGAAGCATGAGGAAACAGGCCAAAACCAGCACATTTTAAACATTCTAGTTGCTTCATATGGGAACCCAGTAAACATTTATGAAGGATGTCTGTTGTTACAAAACAGAGAGAAGTAAGAATGTCTCAAGAAAGAAAATCACATTTTCTTAACAAGAGAAAATGTTTAAGACAATCGCTATTTTAGAGCTAAGTAATATCTTTGCCATATCTGAATTCACACGGAAAGCATTTAAAACCAACCTGAGACCAACTTTAGGGGGCGTACACAATACACTAACCCTAATCCTCCAGAATCCACCTAGATACAATATCTAAAATGTGTTGAATTATAACTCTGGATTAGACTGAGATCTTTACAGAATATTAAAAAAGCCATAAGCTTCATTTCAGTTGTGTAAAAAGCTACGAAATAAAAAAGGTGTCCGACCTGGTTGTGGAAACACATAAAGACCCTGTAATAGCATGCGCAAGATCTGAAGATTGTGCTTTGTTTAAGACCAATCACACCTCTGACTAAGTCAACTCGAAAACAGAAGTGGACGAAGACCGCGCGGAAGAAAATGTCCAACAAAAACATAAATGCATGACACAGTCAACATCAAACCAGACACGGGGTGTGACACGCATGTGACCTTAACAGATCACAAACAGAACAGCTTCAATATATTCCAATGATAAAAAAGTCAGATGTTTACTAAGAAACGCCTTACTTGTCAAGTCACTGTCGAGCCAAGACTTCAGTGTGTCCGTGTGTGTGCGCATGTGAGTGCTGAGAGAAGGCAACAAGTGCGTGAGAGGGTTTACTTAAGGGTATGAGTGCTTTCACAAAGGCATATTATTGTCCCACCATGGAGAGGACTGACAGTTACACAATGCATCAGGCAGTATGTGATGTGTGGACGGGCGTGCATGTGTCTCAGGTCTGGACATTGCACCGAGGTATTCTCATGAGGAGTCATAGGCTGAATTCCTTTTTTATTAAAGCCAAGAGACCCCTTGGGGAGGTCTGCATTATCAGAGAGGGATAACTGTGTGACTGTGTATTGTAAGTACAGGTGTGTGTCCTGTCTGACCAGTCCATGCTGATAAAATTGGCAATTTATTCATACACATTCTCTGATTATTGAGAAATAGTTCAGGTCAGTTCAGATCATGCCACAAAACAAGGATGAAAGTCTAAGATTTGTCAAAGGTAATCTTTTATTCTTAGCCCCCCTTTTCTTCCCTTGTCTTTCTCCTAAAACCCCCCTTATCAAATGTTAATGTTTTATACACAATGTGCCCGAGATGAGAGGTGAATGACAAGTCAAGGAAATTTTGAGGAAATTAAAAACAACAGGAACAAGAACAGAAGCTGTGAGTCAATGCCCCAGACAAACGCAGACAGGGAGGGAGCTTCAGGGCATGACCAAAAAAAACTCAACTCAATCAACTGAAAATGGGTATAATTCTAGGGACATGTGTACTACACAATGTGGGGCACGTGGTGATGAGATTCTTGGTTGCCATGGTGAGGATGCCATGGGGTGCAATGGTTGCCATGACTCCCAGGCGTGGTAGGAGGTGGCTTGGTTCTTCCGGCTCACTGGCCCGAGCGCAGGACTGCAGATGGCCCGGTGTGTGTGTGTATGTGTGTGTATGTGAGTGCGCATGCCCAAATGGCTGTGCTCTAGACCTGTCCTTCAGTATATGTGAAAGACAAAGGCCCACACACTCATAGCATCCCAGTGCTTCAGTTACTATGGTTACACTCAATCGTATCTCTCTGCCTCCCTCTGTCTATCTCCTTCTCTTTGCCTCCAAAATCCCTTTACATTAGTCACATCCACCACACTGTGGAGGTGTGACCTAAAATCAGACACTGAGAAAACACTGACACACACACATTCTACACTCATACAAACACAACTGGTTCTTGAAGAATCTCAAGCGGAGGTGTGAGCAGGAAATTAGTAGCACAAAGTCACGAGTCCTGAAATGTTCTTTTAACCTCTATTATGCTACAGTAAAGGTAAGTGATGTGAAAACTCACCTTTTGATGGATCAGTGAATTGTGAGGCGAAATATCCAGAACCTCGACATCATCCATAACATGAAAAATTTAGAATGCTGAAAATACTAGAATACTAATGTGGTTGCACTACTAGTTTTAAATCATATCTTAAAAACAAAAGTTTGAAATTCAAACTTGTGCTATAAACATATTCCTACTTGCATCACCAAGTTCTCCAGCTTGGTGTGTGTTCTTTGTAGTTGTCACTTACCTGTGATCCTTATCACGATCTCAGTGGAATTACAACCTCAACAATACAGTGTAACCAAGACACAAACAATGCCTATTCATCAGTCCTGTGTGCTCCAGTCCATGTGTCACTTTACTCACCACAATGTTTGAGTTTCTGCGGGAGCCAATGGGAGTGGAAGGGAGAGAATTGAGAGTTGGACTTGTGTTGAACTCTTCAGAGCTCAGGATGTCTGAGCCGTCGCTCAGTCCACTGCTAATGGAACTGCTTTCATCCCAACTAAAAGAGACAAAGACAAAAGGATCAAAATTAACCAGAAGTCATGTGCAGATATTTCAATTGTTTTAGCCTTCTGAGCTGAAATACTTTGGAGCCAAAGAATAAACAGGTTCTTGGGAATTAATGGATGAAAAGTCCAACTCCTTCTCCTTACAGCATAAATACAAAAAAATTGACAACATTATGTAGATACTGATATTAAATGTAAAACATCTGTGCACAAATGAAACATGAACTGTGTGGTTTTCCTCAAGAACAAGTGTGGGAACCAGTGTTTCACATTTAGCTCAAAAAGTAAAGTAAGATCCTGTCATATACACCATCATCTGTGATTAAAAGTGCAATTTAACCATCACTGCATGGTTTATCCTTAAATACAAGAGCATAACAGTACTGCAATAATTAGGTTACATCCACAAGTGACCGAGATACATTACTCACTATGGTTTGCAGGCTTGGGCTGTATTTTTACTCTGCAGTGGCTTCAAGCATCCAATTTAAGGAAAAGGCCCTCCATCTAAAAATCCCTGTCCAACCTGTAATGTCTAGAGCAGCTAATTGTCCCTGCTGGTATGTGTTTCACAAAAGAAGTCTGTGTGAGTTCATTCACACGTCCACCGAGGCTCCAGCCGCTAACTTATTACCAGTGACTGGTTTACATGGCTTCATGTCTTCCAGTTTCCCAGTCTCTCGATTAAATATTCAGCAACCTAATTAAGAGGACTGTCTGCTCTAAATACCCAACTCTCACACGCCGTGTGCAGAAACACGCTGCGATGGGAAATTTGGAGCACTCTTCACATCATCTCAACCCACACACACAAAAATAGAGAGGAAGAAGATATACTGATGAAGGCGCCCACGAGTGGGCGCAGCCCCGTTTCAGGACTGTAAAGTCTGCCCACTTGGTAGAAATGTGTTTTGGCATTTCTCTGCTCCTGGAACCTACATGTATTTTCCAACACTCTTTAACAGCTGCATAGCATGAGCCTACTTGTTGTGCTTGTTGTTTGTGGTAGATATGGCTGACAAAACAGTTTTGCTTGCCCGTTTTCTGCCTGCAAAAAAATTAAATTTATCTGACAAATGGGCTCATAAGACATAATCAAAAGAAGGAGAAATGAAACAATCTCGCTCCACGCACTGACTTGAGGAAATGACAAATATGAAAGTGAATGATGAGTGTGGGGTCTGCATGTGGGTTTCCTTTAAAAGGCTTATATACGTTATAAAGCTCAAGTTAAGGAAGTAGTGTCTTTATCTCAGTAGGGTCAATGGGTCAGAGGACTGATGTACTGTGCAGTAAAGCCAGTTCAGATCACAGAGCTGGTTTAATGAGGTCATATATACTGTGGCTGTGCAGAGGATGAAGGGAGGGAAAGCGCTATGGGCCTTCCAGTTGGGTGCGTCTATGGGTCACACCGTAGCCTGGGGGGGTTTGATGGCAATAATTGGGGGAAGAGGGGCAAAAGGGAGGCTCTCCCTGTCTGGTCTGCAGATATCTTGGAACAAAAAAAAAAAAGAGCAGACATAATTTTATGTCTGAATTGGCGGCCGGTTATGCTGCTCTGTCTATGTGCCAGATTCAGATTAAGGGCAAAATTAAGATTGGGCCAGACGAATGCAGAGTCAACATACACTTTTTATTCTCAGCATGTTAACCAAGTTGTTTAGCTGAAATTCTGGTTGAATGAATAAATTCCTCTTTAGAATAAAAAATGTTCAAAGCAGCTAATAAACATCCAGCTCAAATAATTGATTTATTTGAACAGCTAACTTGAGCATGTGCAGCTCTCCTGTGAGACAAACAGGTTGACCACCAATATGTCTCTGAGGGTTCTTCATACCATGTGACTGGCTGATAGATATATTCCTATCCAGAGCACTTCTGTGAATGCTAGCATCCTTTTGTTGAATAATTCAGATCTGATACGAAACAGAACAAACAGCATCTCCAATGGGTCTGACGTCACGCATCCAAGTGATGTGAAAATGGAATCCTCATGAGAGAAAGTTAAGGTCAAAATTCACCTTCATGCAATGAAAGGTGAAACTAAACAGACAAACCTTCTGATTCACAAATAAAAAACTAAATTAGATGATTAGTGAGATGAGGTAAAACAAAAATACGTCATTTCACAGCAGTTTTTGAAGTGCTTGATCATGTGTTTGAGTGCTCAGATTTGTAACTTTAAAAAAGGTATCTGCTAAAGCTCTTTTGTGAACCACTCATCCAATTCCATCAAATACTTTTTAGCCGAGACAGAACTATCTAGCTTTTTAACTAAACCGAACATCTTCCATTAGTGTGCAACTCCATGCACCTGCACCAGACTCATTGTGAGCCAGCATTTCTTACCACAGCCTTCTAATGGAAGGCTAAGAGGAAGAGGAAGACTAAGTTTAAAAAGAAGTGCAGCAGGAGAGGGTGAAGTGGTATGCAAGGAGAGAATAAATAACAGAGATAAAATACATTAAAAAAGACAGCCCTGCTGTCTTTTATCCCTTTAGCTTTTTCATTTCTGCAGCAGTAGCTGCAGACAAGCAGGGAAAATATCAGAATAACCATTTTTACATTTAAACTGCAGGAACTATTAAAGTAAAGTCACTTTATTAGCTGATGTACGTCTTGCTTTATGCCGGCTAAAAAGAAGTAGTGCCCTGTTGCTGCTGTACTTTCATCACTTCACTGTTTCCAGCAAGCAATGGATTAATCATTTGTATCTCTGTTGACCAAGAAAATGAGGGCTGTAGAGGTCAAAATAAACAACACTTTTCTTTCACAGAGGCATGTTGTCTTTGTTCCTAATAGTGTCCAGAGGGGACTACACTGCCCCGCCCAAAGAAACACTGCTATTAACACAGGGTCTGAAAGGCTGAGGCTGTGCTGTGAAGCTTGCTTTTATTAAGAGGCCTCAGCGTTCAGTAGAGCTAATTGCTCTAATCTCAACGTGAGTGGTCTTCTTTAACTACTCATTATGAGAGCTCTCTCCAGTCTGTCTGTCCTTTCTGCAGATGAGAGCATGGAGAAAGATCCGATAATGGCAAAAAAAGAAATCCACAGCAGAGACAAAGCGTCTGTGCCTGGACTTTACTGGAGTGGTGTTTGGTGGGATGTGTGGCATTGCAGTGCGATGGTTTCTGTGTTTAGCTGAGTATATATATTCTTTAGTGGGCACTGAGAGCACTTCTGAAAAGAATGAACTAATTACCTGATGAAATATTAGTGCACTCATAAGAAACACTGCACTAACGCACAGAAACACACACACACACATCAGATTCATTGAAAAAAGCTTAACAGAATACAATCCCTTTTATCTAGTTATGAATTTCTCTGGAAGCTCATTCCACTATTTCAAGACAGGCAAACGATGATTGCCAAATGATGCCACTACAAGCTAGAATAAATGCTACAAATTTTAATGAAAGGCTGGCAGGAAATCACAAGACAACATGCAGGGTTGCACTAGATCAGATATGAATATGAATTTTTCTAAATATTAGTTTTGACAAAGAGCACAAAAATAAGGGAGCATAGTTATATTTTATGTGTCCTTATGAGGTTAAGACACGCTCCATGCAGGGTGATATTTGGACAAAGACTTTCCAACATGTGGAAATGTATGGAAACTGTTTCTGAAGTAATAAAACAGACAGGAACTTTCCATTTCTGTTCAAATCCACAGTGTCACATGCCCACACCCAGAATGGCTAAATCAGACGTGCTTCTGGTTTTAGTGATGCCTTTCCAAGCAATTGAAAAGTAAAGCCCTGCCAGACTGGTACTGTGCAGCCAGTTCAGAAGCCAGATGGGGCATGCATGATAAGGTTGCTGGAGTCATTAAACTGGCTTAAGACTAAATGTGTCAGGCTCTCCTTGATGAGCGATGGTGACAGGCTGAGAATTAGAGACTTTGGTCTTGGCACATATATCTGAGGTCAGCCTGAGGAGGAAGCGGAGACTTGACCTCTGACAAAGGCAGTTTGAGAACTGCTATCAAAATCATAAAAAAAATGTCACAAACCACCTTTCAGCAGGTGCGAGCTTCTGGAAATATCAATGGTTGTCGTGCTAAAATGGTTTGACAAAAGCTGAATAAAAGACATGAACCAAACTGAAGGCTTAACCGGAAAAGAATGTGAGAAATGCAGAAGAAAGAAAGAGCAGTCTGTTTTAAAATCCTCTACAGATTTCAGTTCCGACATGTAAAGCCTTATCTAAATCCAACTGACAGCACTAAGGAAAGAGAATGACTCATTTGCAACAGAGAGCAGCATGACGAGCCACACCCGGTGTTTGAGCTGGAACACATACATACGTGTTGGAACTGACCATGTTGGGAGGGAAGGTGCCTTAGAATCTTTTCAAAAAGTGGTGTGGTGCATTCTAATGTGATATCTTTGTGGTAACAATCATATTGATAATTTGTGTTATTTTTTAATCAAACGTAATGTATATCTAAGTGATTACAGCAAAAATAAATAAAAACCTGAGGAGGATAGGGGGGGGTTAATACAGTAGATATGCACAGATGGCTAACAATATGGGTCTCTGGACCACTTCATCAGCTTATCACTAGGAAACAAAAAAAGCACACACACACACACTCAAACACAAACACACAGATCTGTGAATCACAATGGAGGATTAGAAGCAAAGCAGACAGTAAAATTGGTCAAAGCCACACAACCTGTCACTGAACCTTGAAAATGGTGAAGATCACAAAGATCTTAAAAGATTCTCTCATCTCTTTAGGATTATCCTTTGCAGCCGCACCATGTAAGGCCATGGAGGAATTCTCTGTGTCGGCAAAGCTCATACCACTGTATATCTTGAGAGTGTCAAAATTCTCTGACACAGGCCCCTACAGACATACAGGGTATATAATAATAACAATCCAGTGCAGACATGCTGCTGTGAATAGTACACTAAAGAATGGTAGATGTACTAATGTTCAGGCATTCATTTTCTTAAATGATGATGCCATGTTACGGTC